CCCCCCACCCCCCCCCCCCCCCCCCCCCAGCTATTTGGGAACAGAATAGGTAGTGTTCTCAGAATAGGAAGTACTTCCAGGGTAGGATGGTAAGTGTTTGGGGGTTGGGACAAGGTTGGTGCAGGATTTGATTCATAAAAATAGAAAAGAAATCAGTGTACAGAATAACCCATGGCAAGATCATTATGTCACTTAAAGATACCTGTGTTTTGTTTTGGGAACTTGGTGTTTGCTTTTCAAAATATAGATCCTTTTCACTCCATTTAAATTTCAGAATCTCTGAGAATCAGTGAAGTAATTACTTGAATGCTGAAAATGCATTAAATTAGGCTGTATGCACTGTGGTCACATTCCTACTTCAACACTATAACTGTAATTGCTTATATTTAATGTGTATTTGAATGTGAACTTGCTACCATGGACAGTTAGTCTGTATTATGATGCAAATGAGGAAGACAGGAGTAGGATGTGCTTTAACATGTTTAATCAATGCCATGTCAAATTAAACCTGTTTCCCTTCATCTCACGAGATAATTTTTGTTGCCTCTGGGGGAAAAAATATGTGCCTGATGCCTGGGTCTGAGCGCGTGGGAAAGGTACATGAGCAGACATCTGGGCCTTTTCAAATTGTACCATTGTTATTCCTTCCTTACTTGCTCTGTACAGGCATTTCTTCCAAAAAACTTGTGCTATCTAAGGAATATCTAAGGGAAAGATGTTGACTCAAAGTTACAGATTTGCTTCCTGGTTACCCCCGACTCCAGAGAGAGTAGAATACTCTGAAGCTGGTGCAAGTGTACCCCCCTAGACACCAGTGCTGCTGGGCTGCCAAGCTAGATATGAGAAATACTGAGACTCAAGCCATTTGTACTGTGTGTGCCCACCCCTTGTACTCACATGCACAGTACAAATTAGTAGCAGCCCCTTGGAGAGCAATTCCCATTCTTCTCTGCTGAACATGGAATGGAAGGGAGTAGGGAGGCATCTGCCATGCCTTGTTCTTCTGAAAAGGGGCACCAGACAGGACAGTCTGGCCCTAAATATGCAAACATATATATTTTTGAAAGCTGAGTTGATATTAAAAACTAAAAACCAGAGAAAATCCACTGCAACATTTTCCTTTAAGCTATTTCCCTCTATAGAGGATAGCCTATTGTATGTTGCTTTTGTTCTCGTGGTTACCAAATACAGCGTGTTCTTGGGGGCTGGGAAGTGTCATGAACTATGAAAGCTTGTCAAAAGTACATGACTTTTCCTGAGCAGTAAGGAAAATAAGTCTCCATAAAATTGATGGAGCATGTTATCACCAAATGTATAACATCCCTCTTTTTCATGCATGCTTTTCAAAGCATTCTGTCTGTGATCAAGTAGATTTTCTATTGCAGAGGGCAGATTTTGTGTGAGGCAGAGTTCTCTTTTTCATACTGGAGCAAGGAACTAATTATTGAGGGGGAAACTATACATAAATACCAGCAAATGGATGTTCTGCCTAAAAAAAAAAAAAAAAAAAATCATGTGGTTCAGTAGGGGTACTTGGCAATCTAAAAAACAGGCTAAATAGTTTTGGATCATCATGGTTAGCAATCCAAAGATCAAAGAGTTAGAGAAATAACACACATCAGAGCAGACTCATGAGGAAACAATCAGGCTATTTGACTAAGGCTCCAAAATTGTAATAAAGCACATTTAAAAAGTAGTTCTTTTGTAAACTCTGCAGCCTGCATCATATTCACTGCAAGACCGTCTTTCTCTGGTGGCAATATTTTGTAACTTGCACATATAAGTATATTTTTGACATGTGTAATGACAATATATTTTCCACTTTTCCACATAGGAGACAGAGCTGCTTGATACCAGCCTTGTCAAAGATGCCAGATGTGGAAAACATGCCAGAGCTCCCAAGGTAGGCTGTTTTGCTGTACACCTACAAGATGTCACACTGATAATTTTGATAGGGCCTCATGGAAATGATAGACAGGGACGAGAGAATTTCTCTAAGACAAAGAAAAATATTTGGATTTTCACTTTACCAAGTCTATGTAGACCTGTGGCATTTGGTCCTGTTCTGGTGAAAGTTGTATTTATGGTGGATAAAGAATAAAAAACTTGAAACCTGAGAGTTATTTCTAAAGTTGAATACAACAGAATTAAAGATTTTCCTTCCCCTTAGGTTCAGCATTTAGTTCTTGTTGCATTTTGTACAGGATGGTCTCCTGCTTCAGTTATCCTGATCTGATGCCTGTTGAGGCTAGTAAGACTCTTTTGAACTGATTTCAGTTCACATTTGTATTAGTCCCAGGAGGCCCAGTTATGTTTGGAATTCCCTTCTACTGTCTTCTGAGAAAATCAGTAATAGAAATACATTTTTTGTGCGTGCCTATATTGTTATTTTTGGATGGAGAATTTAATATGAAAGGAAAATCTCCAGCGCACAGCTCTGGCAACTGGGCTGTGCCTTGGGGAAATCCAGAGGTTAAAGGAGGGAAGGAAATCTCCCCAGGGTTCTGAAAGTACAGCTGCACAGCTTCACAGCTGTGGCTGAAGCTTCGAGGCTGAAGTGGCCTCTTGAGATGCCATTCATACCATAACCTCAGGGGAGGAAATGGATGGTGGATTGACACCGTCTCCATTTGTTCACCATCTTTCCCCCTATACTCCCTTCCCTTCCTTCTTTCCTCCAACCTGCTGTGTTGCAGGACACTGTCCCATGATTGGGTTTTGTGACAATACATGTTAGCAGGTTCCATGGACCTGGAGCTCTCTCAAAAATACTCCATTTACATTTCGTTTTCAAAGCTTTCTGTGGAGTGCTGGCAGCATTTGAAATGCTGAATTACAAGTGGAATGCTACTGAATCGCTTTATGACATCCACATTAATATCAAATTAGTTCTCTGTGATTAATGGCTTTACGATGAATAGCAATAAAACATTAACAATGGCTAGAACATAATTTTAAAGTGCCACCCGCTTTACAGAAGACATTAGTGTTCTTCTACCAAAACATTTTTAGCTAAGATTTATGCACAGCTATTACCTTGGTGACTTTTATTTATTAGGTTACATAAAGGCTGTTTTTGTTATCGTGCAACATGACTGCAGTGGCATTAATTGAAGGGTATGAGAAAACCCTGACTTCCAGGGTGGTGTAATGTAGCACCTGAGTGAATCAGGTTGCCTTTTGTCAACGAATGTGTGGGAGCAGAACAAAAATGGCACCTGGGTTGACTGTGGATGAAATGCTATTTAACACATGAAGCAAAATGGGGGTCAGCCATATCTATATTATACACAGTCACATATTAGGAGCATTGTTGGCAAGTAGATACAGCCCTTAGGTGAGCATATGCTTTGTTTATAGGGATTCCTCTGCCGGAGCCCCACAGGACAGTGCAAGTCTTTTGCAGCTGAAGGAAGGGTTGGCTCTTCAGCTCAAACTGCAACAGCTCCTGGTTTGAGCACTGGTAGTCACCCTGATGTGTTGGGCAAGATGATAGCTGTCATAGAGAGATTGTGGCAGCTGGAGTGCATCTACACATGCAGTTACAGCACCTGAATAAACTGCAGAGCTTATCACTCCAGAGTTAATTGCTCCTGGGCATGCCATTTGCATGTGTGCTCTGGAGCAATTAACTCCAGTGCAATGAGCTGCACAATTTATTCGGGCATAGCACATGAAGCCGGGTGGAGCAGCCCTGGCTGGCAGGGGGCCCCAGCGGTCAGCCTGCCAGCCCAGGGCTGCTCCCCTTGGCTCAGTGTGTTGTGGAGGAGCTGTATGGAGCATGAGGAAGCTTCAGCATGGGGCTAGCCAGCAGGAAGGCCCCAAACTGAAGCACCCTCATGCCCCAGCCAGCCAGGCAGTGTCTACATGTGTGCTGTTGCAGAGTAAGTACAAGTACTTTGCTGCTGGGGAGTAAATTAGTTTACTCCACCTAGTAAGGGCACACATGTAGAAGCTGAGATGTTTAATGCACAGCTAATTAGTCAACTTGCAGTAAACATCTAGTGTAGACATGCCCCTGGAGCTACCAAATGCAGAGGCACGTCTCAACTGCTACACTTGTGAATAGGGTGTAGAATGTCTTACCCATGTTTTCACTTCCTCTCTAGTCACTAGTGGCACCAGTCATAGTGAGGACAAGGACTGTGACTCTTGAAAGGAGTCAATATGGGGTTGAAAATCTCTTGCCCTTTGCCCCCACATGTAGGCTGTCCACAATCTGTTCATCCTAAAGTATTCTGATATAAAGCATGATCCAGAGACTCACCTTGCATAAACTGTCAAAGCTTCATTGCTGCTGCTTCACAACATCTGAGGATCTGGACTTCAAGAAATGTTTAAACAATCCATGGACTGTGGACAGGTGGTTATCTTGAAGCCCCTGGTTCCCTCATGTGCGTTCTGCTTCCTTGATGCCAGTTAACAGGGATGAATAAGTTCCCAAATGTAATATTTCTTAGGCTTGTAGGAAGGTAATTCATGATGAAACTCATCTGCCTCATTAGTCTCGCTACACCCTGGTGTTCTTCAGATCATAGCACAAGACCCATCTTTTGCAGATGAGAGGAATTGGCTGGGTAGTCCATCACATGACTAGAAGTGATCATGTGGTCCTTGCATTCCTCTAGTTTATGACAACATTTGGTATTGGATTTCGTAACTCTTTGCTTTCTGCCAGTTTGAGGAAGCCATTTTGTTTCTAAGTGCATTAAAAATTACAAAGAACTAGTGAACAGGCCTGTGTTTTCAGGATCTGATCCAAAACTCATAGAAATTAATGGGAGTCTTTCCACAGTATCTAGAGGGCTTTGGATCAAGACATGCTTTTCTAATGTTCATTTTCATTTAATTATTTTGATTGAAATAATAACAAACAAGATGGAAGGTGTTTGTGGCAGCGAGACCTAGGGGTGCCGTGACCTCCCCTAGCGCCCTTGCCTACCATGCCAAGTCTGGGTCCTAAACCCCCCCTCTTTTTCGCCTTCCACTTCTTTGATCTTTTATTATCAATGGGAGGCTGCCTTCCTGCCCTCCGTGGCATGGGGCCGGTCTTACTATACCAGGAGTCTGCTCTACTCCCTGTGCTGGCCTTCTCCTGGGCCTACTTGATATGCGCCCTCTCCTGGGGCTTCTCCCTGCACTCTCGCCCCGCCGGGGCCTGTGCCTCGTGCTCTCCGCCCCTGCTTGCTCACTCTGGGGCACTTCTATCCCCGCGCTTCCGCACTTGCCCACACTGGGGCTTTCTATGCTCGTGCTTCCTGCACTTGCCCACACTGGGGTCTCTAACTGGGCTCGCCCCCTTTCGGGGCTTCCCCTTCCAGGCAGCGCCCCACTGGGGCCTACCCCTCATGTCTCACGGTCACCCACACTCGGGCCCGCGCTCCTCACCCGACTCGGGCCTGCACTCGCGCTTCTCGCCCGACTCGGGCCTGTACTCGTGCTCCCCGTGCTTCACACGCTCGGGGCTCAGGCAGCCTTAGCCTTACCTGGCCCCCAGACCTGCCTTCTTGGGCTTATGCCTCGCTGGGGCCTACTTATGCTTCTCGCGCCCACGCCCACTGGGCCTACAGTGCTTCTCGCACCACTACAGCGCCCTCCCTGGGGCTCAGAGCACCCCCACCTTACTGAGGGGGCTCCCCTTGAGGCCTCCTCCACCCTTCAGCCTCTCCCGGTCCTCCGGTTTTAAACACAATAACCCAAAAGCAAAATCTCCCTTTCCTGGGTTATAACACAACTTCAACCAAAATCTCCCCCCTCCTGGGTTATCACGCAACTCCTAGCCAACCTGGCTATCTCTGTGTATCCTTCTCAGGGTTTCCACCACCCAGCCTTATACACAGCCACTCTCCAGCCATCAAACCTCTCTGTTATCCTTGGCTCTGTTTACTCCCACAGAGTGCCTTCTCCTTGTGCTGACAGAGGGGGACTGCCTCTGGCCCTAGCCTTCTCTGCTTATTAAAGGCCAGGCCCTGCCCCCTGGTGGTCAGCTGACCCAATTAGTTGCCCTAGCAACTCCCAGCTGCTGCCCTGTTGGCTGGCAGCTACCCATTTACTACTACTCAGTAGCAGGCACCCTAGTGTCCTGCTACAGTGTTCTAGAACATTATTAGTGCTATGACAAAGTCCCTTCATCACTGTAGGAAGCAGTTTAGGTCACTTTTAGCCATAGGGAAAAATATTGAATTTCTTTACTTTTAGTCTTTTTGCTGATCTATCTCACTTGGACACATTGTTAGACATAAACAAATATCATGTTTTGCTCTTGGGGCAAGCATTTAAACTAAGCTATACATTTACATGCTGTGAAATGCTGCCAGAATGCAAGGAATAGAGAGGAAGTATTATGAACGTGAAAGCTTATAATACCATAACCAAGACCACAGTATGTGGTGTCTATTGACACAATCCTTGGTAAGGTGTAGCAATACCCAAATACTCCCCTGTATACTCCCTTGCCAGTGCTATAAGAATGACATTCTACCTCTGTGTACCTACAAGGGCTGCCTCAGCATAGGATCGGAGTCACTTCACAGTCCTTCATATTTTTTGTCCTCACAGCACTCCTGTGAGGCATAGAAGTACTCTTCCATTTTACAGGTGGTGAACTGAGGCACAAGGTAGCTTAAATGACTTCATGCAGATTTCACATGAAGTCTTCCTCAGAACCAGGAATTGGAACTTGGTTTCCTGCATGCTGATTTTGGTGTCCTGCCCACCACCACATCCTTCTTATAGCTGGGGTCATGAAAACTACTGGTGGTAGTAATTGGCCCCATACTTACTTGCACTCCCATCCACTGCATCCTATTTCTGGCTCCCCACTGCTGGTATCTCCTGTAATCAGTGGGGCTAAATTGTTGTTAAATTTCTTTACATGGGAAGACTGGTCAAAGTCATCTTTGT